ATCCGTACGCACTGTACGCTACTGATGTCAAGTTCCAGCCTTGTGAGCGTCCAAGTGGCCGTCACGCTGAAGCCAAGCCGTTCTTCAGTGCCAAGCACAAGATGTACGGCTTCAAGGTCGAAGCCTCTGTCTCGCCCGATGGTCGCCTAGTGGACATGAGTGAACCACATCTTGGTTCAGTAGCAGACCTCACCATCCTGCGCTATCGTATTGACAACCATCGCCATGCCTTGACCAAGTCGGCGGAAGAGCTCTTGGTGCCCGACCATGGAGAACAAGCACAAGACCACCCCGACATGTGGGTGATGCTTCTCGACAAGAGCTACTACGGTGCAGCTGCAGACCTTCGAGCGATTCACCCCAAGAAGAACCCACCCCGTGGTCTGCTGGACCAGGATAACATCGCTCGTAATCGACGCGTCTCGTCGGACACAGTTCTTGTGGAGAACATTTTTGGTCGTGTGTGCAGCTTGTGGAAAATTTCCTACTCGACGATTGCATGGAATCAAGGTGTTTACGATGAGATTCAACGTCACTCATTTGTTCGAACTAATTTCCATGTGCTATTGATGCCACTGCGTGAAGCAGACTGTTTGTGGTATCGTTCTGTTCTTGCCTGTTATGATGCAATGGCCCGAGCCAACGCAACGAAGCGTGCTGAAGTGCAGCGAAAGTCCCGTCATCGTCGAATGCAACGCATATGCTCTTAGTCGTGGACGTGGCAACTTCTAATTCTCTGCTTCGTCGTCTCCTGCGTCGCAAAGTTACTTGTTTGACTAACCTTGGACAGGTAAAAAGTTAAAAGGGTAAACGACCAATAAAACGCTTTTACCCCTTTCGACACGTTTCAACCGGGTATTTAACTCTTTAACGTGCTCTTGGTCGGGATAAACCTTTTGGCAACTAAGCTTAACCTTCACCTTATCTCATACGCTCGACAGATTGCAGGGTTTTGCGATGTTAAGCAGTGCCCAGGAAGGTTGGTAGTATTCAACCAGACACTGAGTACTATGGAATTTCTGGGCGTTGTGATGAGGTCATCGAGGATTCAGGATTGATTCGAGTTCAATCCAGATCAACAAGGTCTCAGGATAGGCATGGGTAACTGGTTCTGCATTCTAGTGAACTGGGAAAAAACTCGCAAGCGTTGTACTCGCGAGTATTTTGAAGTTTGCATGCATCGAGCTGACCCATGGTCAGCGAGCGAAAAAAATTCATGGATAATGGTATCCATCTAATTCTGAGATGAGGCCACTGATTGGCCAACACAAGATAGAAAATATGCAATTTTAATCTTGACCAGGACGCGGATAGACCGATCCCTGGACCAATTTGAGTGATCAGTACCCTGATTTTGCGTGCTAGGACTGGCATCGGATACTGTAAACCCAGAAAAAAGCTGACACCACCAAAAATGCCGACCACATCCAGAACAAGATCGGTTACATAGAATTCCACAGCCTGTCCTTCAATTCCAAGTCAGAAACGCATTCATTTTGACCAATTGTAGGGTAGATAAAATTGGACCTGTGATTGACTGGAAGAAACTCTCGTGATTATAGCCAATAAAGTTAGACTGACCAAAGCAATATAAAAATATTGATTTCGTTCTGCCTCCATGCATGGTACTCCCTCCGTCCCATTTTACTTGCGTAGATCAGAAAATGGATGTACGGCGCCTTGAATAA